TGGGAAGAATGGCTTGTTACCTCTCCTCCCACTTCTGTGCATTCGGTTAGTAAGCTGAGAAATCTGGCTGACTGGTTCCAGTCCGGGTGTTGCTGGTTTCTAGAAATGTCCTCGAGACTGCTTTTCAAGAGCAGCTGCTATGTTGTGTAGCAAATGATTAACTCTGTCACCTCAAACTGCCTGCTTTTAAGGATGAGGGAGGGGGAGAAAAATACAGAAGTCTTACAGTGCAATAACTTTTAATAGTCCACACGGAACAGGCGGGAAAGTGTCGTACTCAACAACAAATGCTCTCCTGCCTCGAAACATTTCTACTTAAAATGCTTCCTTCTCTCCCCATTCCTTCACTTCAAGTCTACAGACGTGCGTCTAAAGTGCATTTCCCAGGCTTTGAAAACAGCAGTGTCTCAGGAGCCAGTCCTGAATATTCCTCATTGGAGGGGCCGTGAAGTTTGAGCCCAAGTGCCCTCTCTTACCAAGTACTGCTGAAGCCATCGGATAACTTTAAAGGGTAAAAACCCAAGCTCCAACACACACACACACACACACACACACACACAGAGTTTAATGCCTCCTTCAGTCATGACATATTGAAAATTCAATTGACACTTCAATGCCCATGAGAACCACGGTGGCAGCCTTGGAAGAATATTCTGAATTTGGTGGTATGAGGCACCCCAAACACTGGGACTTTTCAGTCCTAGGGCAGACTGAGGATCGGCGATGGCCCTAGGACATGGTCCTGAGGCATTCGGGCTATTGTTTCTCTTCGTGGGGGTCTTCAGGGTCGCCGGCCTCCTCGGAGGCCCGGGCACCCTCTGGGAGTAACGTGGCACGCACCTTCCTCTTCTCCTTGAAGCGGCCGGAGCGCGAGATCTTCAGGTTGCGGCGGCTGTTGGCCAGTTTCTCCCCGCAGAGCTTGTCTGGCTTGTGGGGCTCGCCGGCGCCCCCGGGGAGATTGGGGTGCAGGTTCTCCCGAGAGTCCGGGCTGGGTGGCGCGGACACGGCGGGCTCCGCAGGTGCAGGCGGAGCTGTCGGCGCCGTGGTCTCTTTGCCCTTCTTCCTGCTGCTGTTCGTTAGCGATTTCCACCAGGAGCCCGAGCTACCGCCCGTGCTGCCGCTCGCGGCCATGCCGGCTGGCCGAGGGC